GAAAACACCTTTAAGATATTATCTTCAAAACAAAATTGATTTGTCTTTTATTTTTTCGAAAACAATTCTATGTAGACTCAATTTGTTGGTACAATTTACTAATCTGGCGGAATGACGGATCAGTTTAACAAATTATGAAAAAAATTGAATACGGTGACATTACTCATCTAAAAGTTGTACTTTTTTTTTTTGAGTTCAATGGTCATGGGTGTCTGGACCAGTTTACGCGCACTTTAACTAATTTTTTTTTTGATTTGGTCAAAGATAAGTCATTCATGTCAAGACTAAAGTATTCATAAAAAATAAACTAATAATAGTCTAGTCCAATAAATTATCAAGATTCGAACTCAAGATATTTAATATTACAATTCGTTTTTGTTACCACTTGAACTACTCACTGGGGCCACATACGTATATAAAAGGTTTTTGAAAGAATTCACTGTATAGGTTAGGGGAAAATATTTATTACAATAGTGACATTACATGACAAGGTGATATGAGTGTCCTTAGCCTACAAAAAACTCCCGCTTACAAATAGAAACGCAAGTAGAATTCTTCAAACAATTTTTAAAAAAATAGTTAATAGTATTTTTGGTCTTTAAAATATGTATTTTTTGTCAATTTATTTCTCATTGCATCAATTTTGTTAATTTGATCTTTAAAATATTCAATTCGTATTATCTTAGTCCTTACATAAACGAACCGTTAAATTTTTAGCAGAATAATCACGTGTCTGACATGCGATACCGTCTAAAAAAATGACATTTAGTCATTTTTGTTGAAAAAATTGACGGATTGTTTGATTAAAAACTAAAATAACACGAATTGAATACTTTAAAGAACAAATTGACAAAATTGATAAGATGAGGATTAAATTGTCAAAAATACATATTTTAAGAACTAAAAATACTATTAATCTAAAAAAAAAAAAGATAATGGGATGTGAGTACCCTTTTCAAAACTTATTTGACTTTAAATACCACTTCCAAACTTATCCTCATTTAAGTCATCTTTTTCATCAAATAGTTATCAATAAGTACACATTTTAAAATATTTTAAAACTCTTTTTAAAATGTATTTTATAATTACCCATATCATAAATAGTGCATACCTACTTGAATGTGAGACTTTTAAAATTCCTTTTGATATTTGTGTATTATTTAAATTTTAAATTTTATATATGTATGTATGTTTGTACACACACACACACGTAATACAGTGATATCAAACAGTGACACGTTCAACAAAAAAATAGTAACATCAAACAGTGACACGTTTAACAAAAAAAGAGTAACATCCAACAGTGATACGCTCAACAAAAATATTTGTATTACTGTTTGATGTTACTATTTTTTTGTTGAGTGTGTTACTGTTTGATGTTAATATTTTTTTATTGCGTGTGTTACTGTTTGATGTTACTCTTTTTTGGTTGAGCGTATCACTGTTTGATGTTACAATTTTGTTGTTAAGCGTGTTACTGTATTAGGCGTGTGTGTGTGTCTATATATATATATATATATATATTTCTATCTCAATTATTTTAAAAAATATATTTTTATCTTATTAAATTTTTTATGTGGTACCAGCTTCCCTAAACCCAAAAAAAAAATACCATCTAAGTTAAGTGGTGTCCTCAACTCACGGAGTAGAGTAAATGATCGGGGTTGGTACGACATCTTAAAGGAAGAAAAAAATACAAAACTTATCGCTAGGGTAGAAAACAATTTCATAAAAAAAATATTGCTTGCATGAAACTAACGGCATTGGGACATTTGAAGCTTAAACACGTCATTGAAAGTAGTACATGGCTTAATTGATGATAGAGTTAACAAGCCGTGGTTATTGGTAGGAGTAACAACTCATTAATTAATTAATAAATGTTTTACTTCAAATAGGTGTTACTGCTTTAAGTAGTGACAACCACGTACAATTTCTTTTTATAATCTATGTCTCAATCATAGACTTTTTTTTTGCTGGTTCAATGATAGATTATTTTGTATTTATGAACAGAGACTCACTTTATAAAAAGTGGGTATTGTTTAAATTAAGGGTTTTTTGCGCTTTCTATTTCATATGTTCAAAAATTAAATTTATCACATTGTACCTTTAAAGTTTAAAAAATGTCGTAATGTGGCCGTCTATTGGCTTTCGTTATTTTTTTTCATTAAAATTCAACTCATTATCACTAACAAAAAACTAACAAAATGGTCACATTGTAATACTTTTGATATATTGAGGATTTAATATAAAAATTTAATCTTTGAGAATATAAAGTAAAAATTTTAAAATCTTTTAGGATACAAAGTGTATTTCACCCTTAAATTAATGATATGTGATTTATCATTAAAATTAGTAGAGTCAATGTATAGGTATGATGTCACCACTTGGTGAATTGGCGTTGTCCGTGGAAGTCAAGGTTCCACCCCGTGGGCCAATAACCGAAAAAATAGAAGGATAAATTACATATATCCCCCTGAATATTTACCCTTAATTATGTTTTGGGTAGACAATTGAGATTGGACTGAATTGGAATTTTAAGTCCTACCCAATTCAATTGAAGGCCGACTACAAGGTGGGAAACTGTCTCCTTGTATGTTCAATCCTCCATTTGAGTATTAGTTTTGTCAAGTGCCCCATGCACCAACTCACCGCAATGGCCAGTCAATTCACATTACTTTGATGGTAAGGCTTTTTTTGTTTTTTTTGGTGGGGGGGGGGGGGGGTAATAATGTAATTTCAATCATATCTCATTGATATAAAATGTACTAGTAATTTATCCCACCTCACCAATGGGTTTATAATATAAAGATCAATGGTGTTACATGGACTTTTTAAATAGGCTTGAGTAAATTCAATGACTTCTTTTATCCGATTGTCTTTTTACCAAAAACAAATAAGAGGTGTGGGACCCAAGTTGTTTTTATCCAATCCAACCCAATAATCCTTTTTTTCCAAAGAAACAACCGGTCCTTGGGGTCGTTTGATTTATTTTACTACTCAAAGATTTGATTGATTTGGTATGACCATTCTAAACTCTAGATGACTTATGGGATAAGTTTGGATTGGACTATGTATCATATATTTATTCTATTCCATGTTTGAAAATGGTAGAATAGGTAAAAAATTTATGGTCATCGTGATGTAATGTCAAGATGTCCCTTTTGACAAATATTATCTTTTTTTAATTAAATATTTGATTTTGACACAATAGCAAATTAGTAATTTTAATTTTAATCAATCCACCTATTTGAATATGCTCCCATGTGAGTTTCAATAACCCACATAGATAAGATTATTTATAATGATGGTTGTGGGCTTAAATTCATTATCTAATCACAAAAATTTGTTAAATATTAGATTTGTAGTCTTCTAGGTTTATTTTATCCAATCCTAACTAGATATTCCACCCAATCCAACTTACCAAATAAGCCCTTATAGTCAACTTCTCTCGACTATTGATAACTATATAGGATTAATGAGAAAACCTCGAATACTATTTTTTCCTTTGATCGAAATTTGACAAAAAACCAAACCCACACATGAATTGCTAAATATAATGTATCCCTCATGTGCATTCATAAAAAAATGAGTTTAAACCTCAAAACAATATTAAATATGTTTAAAATATACATGTATCTCTTTGTATCTATTCATAAAAAAAAAACAAAAATCTTGTCCAAAATAAACACAAAAACTTCTATTTCTACATTGTCTCATGATTTCATCTCTCCAAGAGTATCCCCCTTGAGAAACCTTAACCGCCTCCTTTCCATTCCCCGCAACCCCACTCTATAAATCTACCCCTTTGGGGTGAGATATGGATTTTGTTGGGTGGAGTGGGTTGATTGGATTTGGATAAGAGTAACCGAGAGAGAGAGAGAGAAGAAATTTAATTTTTTTTCCTACTTTTTTATTTTTACATTATTAAAATTTTTATTTCAAGTTTCAACAGGATAAATAGTTATTTTGTGAAAAATATTAATGACATCAACAAAAACTGGAGTTTACTCATAGAAAATGGTCAATCGGAAGTTGAAATAAAAACCATAAGGGACTTTCTTTAATTTTTGAAACCTCAAGGAATAAAGTGTAATAAGCATAAACCTTTTGGACCATTTTTGTATTTCACCCGGAAAAATGTATAGGCATGATGTCATTCCAGTTGTTTCCTTCTATTTGCCCAGTTGTAAATTCACCTTTTTTTTTTTTTTATTTAATTCCTTACTCCACTCCACTCCTGTAGCCCCGTTTATTAATGGTTTATTCTTCTCACATAAACACTCAAAATAATTATAGTTTTTTCCCATTTATGTAATGGAAAAATCATATTTTACCCCTCGAAATATATAAAAAAATTTAGTTTGCCTTTCGAATGATTAAATTTTTTATATTGCCAACTCAAAAAAATAAGAACGTTATAATGTAGTCAATTGTCTTATTTTTGTTTGGTTGTCCATCTATTTTGTGTAAAATCAACCTTTCATAAACCACAAAAAAGACGAAAGACCAAATAAAAATAAGATAATGAACCACATTGTAACGTTTTTATTTATTTGCAATGTGAAGAAATTAATCACTTAAGGGCTAAATTGAGATTTTTCTATCTTTTTGGGACAAAATGAGATTTACTCTTATATAATCCATTTGAACTGTACAAATGCTTATCAACCGATTCAACCCCTATATATATCCACCATATCGAACTATTCATAAACACACCAACTACAACACCAATTCTACACACAGAGACACACACAGCCATGTGCACTTCTGTTGAATCTCTTCAACCAATGTCCACGTTCTTCATTTTTGTTGTTCCTCTCTTATTCATCACTATTTTCTTAGCCAAACTCCGGCGAAAACTTCCATACCCACCAGGCCCGAAGGGCTGGCCAGTGATCGGAAACATGTTCATGATGGACCAACTAACTCACCGGGGTCTAGCGGCGTTGGCCAAGAAGTACGGCGGACTTTGTCACCTGAAAATGGGATCATTACACATGTTCGCCGTATCGTCGCCGGACGTGGCCCGTGAAGTCCTCCAAGCTCAAGACCACGTGTTCTCAAATCGACCCGCTACCATCGCCATAAGCTACTTGACATATGACCGGGCTGACATGGCCTTTGCTCACTACGGTCCGTTTTGGCGTCAAATGCGTAAAATCTGTGTCATGAAGGTGTTCAGTCGAAGACGGGCCGAGTCTTGGGCATCAGTACGTGAAGAGATTGATTCTGCGATTCGAACCATTGCGGGTCAGGTAGGGTCACCAGTGAATATCGGTGAGCTCGTGTTTGGGCTGACGAAGAACATAACGTATAGGTCCGCGTTTGGTTCAATGTCAAATGAAGGACAAGATGAATTCATTAAGATTTTGCAAGAATTTTCAAAACTTTTTGGAGCATTTAATATCGCTGATTTTATTCCCTCCTTGGGTTGGATCCAAGGAGGAGAATTCAATAAGAGGCTAGCGAATGCTCGAAATTCGCTGGATGGGTTCATCGACAAGATTATCGATGAACACATGGAGAAGAAGAAGAACAATAGCGATGCAAATGACACTGAAATTGATACTGATATGGTGGACGAATTACTAGCGTTTTACAGCGAAGATGACTTGAAAAATGACTCGGAGGACTCACTTAAGGTCACCAGAGACAACATCAAAGCTCTCATAATGGTATGACGCTCAAAAACTATAAATCTACTTATTGAATTATTATTTTTTTATACAATCAGACCCATGTCCAATGAATAAAGGTGATTTGATATAAATCGATAATAATAGGATTGTTAAAAGTAGGCCGAAAGCTAATGAAATATTGACAAACGATATAATAATTTATAATTTAACGGATATATAAAACAAAATTAATATAGTTGGCCTCAATTAATGGAAATAAAGACTTTGTTGAATTTAATTGAGGATTTTAATATACAAGCAAATATGGTATGAATTTTGTTTGTTTTTCAGTCTGATACCTTTTTATTTGTCTGGATAAGCAAACATGTTAATTAAGACATTTGTCATCTGCTATAAAAAGGTTGTAATAACGTTAAACAAAAGGAAAAAAATGATTTACTGTTTGTGGATAGTACAACTTTGCATGAATCTCCCCTTTATCCAACTTGACAATTAATTTATGGGAAGCGAGAGAAGCTTATCTAACTCAGCCTGAATCCCATCTTTTTCTTGGGTCTTACTGTCGTGTATATCTCCACCTTTGAACGTAGAACCAGTCAATATACCAGTCCCGATACGAAGGACCTGTTTTTGATAAAATTAGAAAGAGAATTACTCAAAGTGTATATAAGTTGACTTAAACACCTCTCACGTACTTGTTTATTTTGAACATGTACACACGTCATTTAAAAAATAAAGAAGAAAAAAGCTATAAGAAAAAGATTTCTTGCATAATATGTATTAGTTTTCCTTTTTCTTCATCAAATTGCCAATTTTTTATAGGATGTGATGTTTGGTGGAACTGAAACTGTGGCATCAGCAATCGAATGGGCCATGGCTGAGCTTATGAAGAGCAGAGAAGACCTAAAGAGGGTACAACAAGAACTTGAGAACGTTGTAGGCTTTGACCGCCCCGTTCACGAGTCAGATCTTGAGAAACTCACGTACCTCAAATGCGTTATTAAAGAGATTCTTCGTCTTCATCCTCCAATCCCTCTGCTCCTCCACGAGACTGCAGAGGACAGTGTGGTCAACGGATACAAAATACCCGCGAAATCACGCGTTATGATCAATGCATGGGCCATTGGCCGTGACCAAACTGCATGGAAGGATGCTGACACGTTCAAGCCTTCTAGGTTTCTCAACAATGGTGCACCAGATTTCAAAGGAAGCAACTTTGAGTTCATACCATTCGGGTCGGGTAGAAGATCCTGCCCGGGAATGCAACTGGGGCTCTATGCATTGGAGCTGACAGTGGCTCACCTTTGCCATTGTTTTACTTGGGAGTTACCTAATGGAATGAAGGCTAGTGAGCTTGACATGAATGATATTTTTGGGCTCACTGCCCCGAGGGCGATTCGGCTCAGTGCAGTACCGAGTCGTCGCCTGCACTATTCACTGCTTTAAAGGGTGAAGATGAAGATTTTACTGAAAAACTTAAGCATAATGACTTTTAATTCCTGTGTGAAGTTAATTGTTTATGTACTATGAACTCTCCTTTATTAAAAAAGACCCAATGTTGTTTTGTGTATAATAAAGGTTAGCTAAATATGCTCTCTCTCTCTCTCTCTCAAATATTGAATACAACACTAATATCATGTCACTATTGATGACATGGTATTACTAATTAATAATAAAACCCTAAATGGATAAGATGAACTCAACTTAAACTTATATGGCAGAAGAGTGAAGAGTTAATTGTTTATATGACAGACTAGTTATTAATTTTTGTGGGGTTCATTTATTTATTTGTTGTAGTATTATTAGTTGGTAATACAATATTACATTGTCATGTGATGTGACATCACCGTTGTAATGAATAATTTCTCGTCGTGTTAGGGTACCAAAATATAATACGATTCGTTAATACTATAGGAACATGATTATAAAATTCTAAAAAAAATAAAACTTTAACTATTTCTTTTTTTATCTTTTTTTCTTATAGTTAGAACAAATAATTATGCAAATATACAAAGTTTTTATAGTCTTATAATAAAATATGATTAATAAAAAATTAAGTTTAATAAATTTGAGATAATATTTAATTTAGATAGACATATAACTAGTTTTTTTATTAATTTTTACATAGAAATGAAGATAGGGCTAATCGGTAAAGAGTAGTCGTCAATTTAGTAACCTAACCTTCCGAATCGAAAAACCATAAGAAAGCTACACAAGGACATGCAATGACCAAACAACTGTGTATCTCTTTGGTGACCGAAACCTCCAATATAGAATGGAAAGAACAGGAACCTAACAGTTGGGAGCAATAAAAAATAAAAATTACACATGGCTAACATGAATAGGAGAATAAGTTATGACTCTCTTTAGATTGTTCTATAATATTTCAATGGTTGCCTCAAAGAACGACATCATAACTCCCGCTAAGAATGACATAATAATAATTAGAGTCGTAGGTGGTATTCAAATAAAGGGGAGTACCTTGTTATCATGAAAACGCCGGTTGTTACCATAGCAACATGAATCAAAGCAGATACTGGAGATAATAACTAGGACCTACATGATCATAAGCTAACTTAATAGGCAGCTCCTAATTTAGAAGCTAATAGGTTTTGGGGGGAAAGGGGGATGAGATTGAAACATGCAATCACCTGCAGAAGGAAGTGAACCTTTACCACTTCCTCACCTCCTTGGAGCTAACAGTGTTTCGACATTTTTCAGCTAAATGTCGAACAAAAGATAGGTGTATCATTTGTAATTTCATTCTTAATCCCCTAATAACACAAATTTTGCGTTATCGGTTTTTCTAATTTAGAGTTTAGGATAGCATTATTAAGGCAAACACAAACAAAATCTAGGCCCACTTTTTAGGATATCGTTATGTTTACGCCCATCAAATATGTCGGATGAAGTAGGTTTGTGTCGAGTTTTGACAGGTTTGTGTTAAAAAATATTTCACTCATACTCGATTTTTTTATTGATTTGTGTCTTAACAAATTATATCTTATCGGATTCGTGCCTTTTATTTATTTATTTTTGGTCAATGATTCGTGTCGTTTATGAACTGTGTATAACTAGTATATAAACAAGTCGTATCTTATATTTCTTATAATTGGCTTTATCTATACTCGATTTTTTTATTAATCGTATGGTGTCGGGTCCACTCATTTACTAAACCGGTAGTTTAAAAAAGACCAAAACCCTTATATTATATTTTTGACGTATTAATAAATCGTGTCATATTTTGATATTTGTCTTTATGCTATATCTCTACACCATTCATTCACTTAAATATGGGATGGACTGCGCCGGAAAAATTTTGGGCACCCTCTTGGCCGTGTTTTTGGTCTTGTATATTCACGAGTGATCCCATCAATTGCATCATCTAGTTGCTTAGACTTTCCCCCCTCTAGAAAGTATCAGAAAATTGTGCAAGGAAAGAGACTTGAGAACTTTTTTTTTTTTTTGGGGGGAAGGGGAGGGGGATTTTGACATTAAGAAGATAAATTTTTTACAAGATAAAGAGTACTATTTGACTTAAAACCCCTTAATAAAACCTGAGAACTTAATTATATGAGAGAAATGTGAAATATTGAGCACATCGAGTCATGACGAAAGAATTAAAGTTCATTTTGAATGCTCAAAAATATTTCTATTTTCATAAAAATCAAAAAAAATTCTTTGATTGATATCAAAATTCTTATATTTCGTGGTGGTTTGGTGTGTTTCAACATATGTATTGACCAATACTTCAAAAATAAATTTTTAATTTTTTTTTTATTTTTATCTTCTTTCAGAAATATTTTCAAAATATTATCAAAACGTTTCCGTTTTCAATCTCACCAAAATGAAATCTTGATTCTTAGTCATGGCACAATTTTTTATTTTTTTTTTAGTCAATCAGATTATATTTCTATTACTTGAAAAGAATGAAATTTACAAGAATCAATGTAATTACAGACTACTTTAACAAAAAAACAAATATCAAAAGAAAGCACCTACAGTAAAGTAAAACACATGAGCCAAAATCATCCTACTCCCTCACGTGCTTCCTTTTCATACATCCTTTCCAAAATCTCAGTAGGCCAACACATCTAACCAGGAGAAAGCATATCTCTGTTTTTTTTGTTTTGCAACCCAAGGTGCAATTTTATTGCTTTTTTTACTCACATAATGTATTTCAATCTTAGAAATCAAATGTACGTATTCCCAAATATCCCTCTGGATAGCCTTAATCACCCTCAAAAAACAATTATTACCATTATTCAAAGCATCAACACATGCTTTTGAGTCTGACTCCACTATTAGTGAAGGGTACCCTACAGCTATGGCTATACAACATGTCAGTCTAATGGCACATGCTTCCACTATTAAAGCTGAGTTTGCAGCAAACTTACCTGCACTTCCTTGTATCAAGATTCCTTCACTGTCTCGAAAGACTACTCCAAAGGCCTCTCTTTTATGATCTATTATCGTGCTCATTCATAACACAGCCGCTCCATTCCTCAACGGCAATGATAGCTTTGACTTATCACTCCTCTTGGCAAAATCTTTACCCTGCTGTTTCAGCGCCTCCAAAACCCACGCTTCAAACCTTGTTATCTTCTGTCTATCAACAAGTATTTTTAGAGGACAGTCTTTCCAAACTTCTCCAACCCAATTGATAGCAGCAATTAACATGTTTTTTTTTTATTCAACGGTCAGGAGTGTTTGAGCTATTTTACGTTCATTTCAACTAATCTCATTTACGGTTCAGTCAAAGGCAAGATATCCACGCCAAGACTAAAGTATTCATGAGTCTGGTTCCAATTGATTATTAATATTCAAACTCAGAATATTTAAATTTACAATTTATCTTTATTACTTGAACTATTCCCTAAAACTATTAATTTGATCAAAAAATATCACGTCAATAGTAACATGTGTCATAGCTAGGCAATTTTTTGCAATACAGCCAAAACTCAAGATTCTGTCTCAACTGTACAGTTTACTACCTAATAAAAGTTGGATGTATATCTTGATCGTCAGCCAAAACATAAGATCAATATAGAGGCATCAGAATTTTGAAAAGAAAGAATCCATTCAACTAATCCACTCACATTACTATCAAGTTTAACACCTATTTGTCACTCTTATCTCTAAATGAATCTTCTTGTCTATATTCATTTGGTATTTTTCTGATGGCTGCTTGCTGGACGTGGGCAGCCCTTGGCGCAAAGGCGGCGTCAAAAAATTATTTTTGAGTTGACACTGCAATGAGTTTTAATATTTTTTCTACCTATCGATAAACATGATCTGATACATTTATATTTAATTAAATCGTACTCGTTGCAAAAAATAAGTTTAATAAAATCATTTACTATTGATCCTTATTGGTTTTTATACTTTGAAAGTATTTCGTAAGACATGATTACGTATATTATCGAAAATATTTTTCTCTATATAATCAAAATCATATTATTAGTAATCCTTTATCACCAATTCGTATAGACAATTGATTTTTTTATGTATATATATTTTTCGAATGACCTAAATTCATCGAGCTCGAATTCAATTTTAAAGTTCGTTCAATAAATGAGTAAAAATCATTTTACGAAATAATTAAGACTAAGCAACGGCTTATCCACCTAATTATGCCCATCAATGCACGTGTGCTTGTGTGTATGTGTAAGTTGTGACATCTTTTTCGAATCAAACGTACAACACAAGATGTTTGAAACTCGTTACGATTTTGAATAAATTTCAATCACTATTCAAGAATGAATGAGCCAAGTCCGAACAAACTAATTCTCGCCTCATTTCAATTCATTTCCAGCCCATGTGCAAATTGTAGGGATACTTTCTCTCAAATAGGACGAATTGCTAAAGGAAGTGGTTGAGTTTGGTAGTGCAAAAAACTTGTCGTAAACGTAAGCAAGGTGGGATGTTGTCGGTAGAGACGAATGGAAGGGATAAGGATATGCCGATGAGAGCCATTGACTGAAGAATGGGCTCAATGCTTTACTTCACGTAGAGAAAAGCTGAATATGGTAAGTGTGCCTAGCTCAAAAGGTTTTGGTGTGTGGAAGATAGAGTAATTATTCACCCCATAATGTGTTGGTGTAATTGCATAAATTGAAAAGCAACGCATAAAATAATAAAACTTGATACAAAATAATTTAGGTTGAAACGCGAGTAGAAAATTGAAGCCTTCTGCAGATGACAAAGTCCAAATCCGATGCAACTGATCTTTTCACTTGACTTGTTCCCTCCAAAATACAACAACCCAATAGTTTCGTCATATGACATTAATTAACTCTGCACAAGTGGTTAAGTCCAAAGCTCTACCATAGAAACGCTATTTTTTGGCCTGAACTCCCAAGTGTTCGTATTATGTTTGAATTGTTGCAATGTCCATCTTAGAGGTCCTATTTATATACTCTTAGAATTTTCTAGAATTCATACATCCAAGTCATACATGGATACACAAAGTACATGTATGTAATTATACATACATCTAATAAAATCAATTCATGCATATAAGTCATACATGAAAAAATGTGCATGTATGTGCGTCTAATTATACATGTATGTAGTAAAAACAATTCATGTATATATTGGCATACATGAACTCAAATAAATTCATTATGCATATGTATTATACACTCATCTCATAAATAAGATTTATCCATAAGAGCAAGTATAATACATGTATCAATAAATTCATAAATACAATGTATCCATATAGATGAATGAATCCACATTGATACAATAAATTATATATAAATATTAAAATGTACCAACATAATGTACCTAGATTGAGTATAAATAGCCTCATACACACACATACACAAACTCACCAAAAAAAATATATAAATTAAATGATTCTCAATGAAAATATAATCGTTTTTCCTTTTTTTGTTTAACATCGGTAGATCATTAATATGATAAATAATTAATAACTGTAACTTTCAAATAATACATCTATAACGTAAGAGAAAAACTTACATAAGAGAATATATATACTTTTATAAGAATTAGAGGTGACAATTTTAACTCATTATCTATTAATCTGTCCATAAATTAATGAAGTGAGTATTTATATTAATTAATATGAGTTGTAAATGGATTGGGTAATATCATTCATTTTAATTAATCGGATTAATATGGATTATAAATAGGTACCCATTGGGTTAAGTATTTATCTTTTTATTAAATAACACAAGAAATAAAATTAAATAAATATACTAATATACCAAAAAATACGCACACTATTACACCAAAAAATATACACATATACACTAATACACCAAAATATATACACACTAGCACACAAAACACACACACTAATACACCACCCATGACTGACGAGTCAACCCATTACTCATGGGTTGACCCATGACTCATGGATCGACCCACGGCCCCTATGGGTTGACCCATAGCCCACAATTACCCCGACACATTATTTGTGTATTTTTTTTATTAAATGTATTTTAGTTTTTGTGTTAGTATATGTGTGTGTATTTTTGGTGTATTAATATATATTTTTAATGTATTAGTTTGTGTGTATTTTGGTGTATTAGTGTGTGTGTGTATTTGTATTTTGGTATACTATTAATGTGTGTGTGTTTTGATGTACTAATGTGTTCATTAAGAATTTTAATTATTTTATGGGCTAATCAGTTTAACCCAACCCGTTATAAATTCAACCCATTATAACCCATTTAGTACATGAGTGAAAAAAGAATTTGATTTATTTTAGCCCAATTCAATTTAATCCAACCCATAACCAACCCAACCCATCCATTTGTCACCTCTAATAAGAACTATAGTAATTTGATAAACTAGATATGAACAACTATACATATATATGACATAAAGTTAAAAAAACGTCATATTTTAGTGCAAGTTTACTTTGGTGCATGAAAAGCGAAGCTATCTTTTGTTCCACTTTTTTTCTTGAACACCTAATTTTATTTATAGTCTTTATCAAGTAGTTTTATTTGACTCAATAAATTTCAGGATTAATAAGGCACATGCATAGCAAAGTTCATATTATATAGAAGAGGACCCAATTTCTTTCTCTTCATTAATGACAACACTTCCTCTTTTCATTAATAATAACAAACAATTTCACATAATAAAAAATAGCACATATCTACACCACCAAAAAAATCCTCTCTCTCTCTCTCTCTCTCTCTCTAGAATATCATAATTTGAACTCCACACAACTATCAAAAGAAAAAGAAAAATTGCATCACGTGCTTTACTAAGGAAAAACCATGGCGCTAGTTTGCCATCTCTTCGTCCCTCCATTAACAAATACACACATGTAGATCACCTTACCCCTACGTTGGATTACAAAGGCATTAAACTTCTTTTGTTTAATAATTTTATATTTTTAATAATATAATTTAATCTAATTTCATTGTTCTTCTTATTGGCAAAGGTCAAAGTTAATAGATAATTTGAAATACAAACAATGAATCAAAGTTTATATACAATCTCTATTTATCAGCTACTATTGTTTTTTTTTATTTTTAACAATATTCTAAAGAAATTGATGTGGGTTAGTCATATTATCAACTAAAAAATAAATATTAACAAAAGGTAGAACAATAAATTTTAATCATATATTTTATATATTTATTATTGATTTTGAAGGGCGCCTTTATAATTTTCGCTTAGGGCCTCAATTTTTATTGGCCCAGCCTTCGCGTTGTGGTTCATTAGTCTTAATTTTTTTTTTTGTATCAATAAATAGATAATTTCACATGTTAATACTAACATAATATTACCGTTATATTTAATATTTTCCCGTTGGATGACCTCACGATAGCTTGCTTGCTTGCTTGAGTTGCTTTTCTTTTGCAAAGCCCTGTACCTAGGCCTGGGCTAACATACTCTGTGTTACTAGGTAAGTATTGCTCCAGTATGGCCCAACCCAATATATGGTCACTCCAACTTCTTAAGTGTCCAAATAGGGGCTATACCAAGTAAAGCCATTATTAATAAGCGAAAAAGTTGCATTCTCCCTAAGAGCTAGTCACCATTCATAAGTTATAATGATCCACTGCTATTTGGACTCTTAAGAAGTTAGAGTGACCATAAAATTATCCAACGGCTACTAACATCCCTTTCAAAACCATTCACATTACACTGTACCTTCAGACACGAATTATCCCCATTTATTTTATAATATGAATGAATTAGATATGAAATGAATCATGTCATATCATATTTTAAAATCGTAAGATTTTTGTCATTATAAAATATATTTCTATCATAGATCATATTTAGTGGAAATCATTTCAGACTTATTTTGGATGAGTCTAATGAATTAACCTATTTATGACCTTAATGGGTTTAAGGCTAACAAACACCCACCCGAAGGAAAAAAATAAAGAAATAAGACCATACCATGGCGAAGTAGACAAAAACATCACACGCCAAAGCAGCCATTTCTTTTTCTCTTTCACACTCAAAAGTAAAAGTCTCAAGGGACCCAGAAAAAAACAACTATCTAACATAGCATTTGAAACTTTTTCAGGCACCTAATGACCTTGAAAAGAATTGCAATGAAGTTTGTTAAGAAGTATAATATTTCAATTGTCAAGCTAACCTACATAAGGATGCGGATGACAGCAAGACCAACTGCAGAGATGGAGACAAGAGTACCAATGCAATATTTGATAACATCATACTTAGCTGCTTCCAATTGAGCCCTTAGAGCATGAATTTCCTGTCGACAATGTCGAACAATTTAGAAATCAATGCTTTTAAGTCGAAGTGGTGGACATTTGCTTGTCAAATGAAACCAATAAAACTCACTCGGTCAAGCTTGTTAGTGAGGCTGGTGGTTTCTGCATTCTGATTGGCAAGCTCATCACGTATGCGCCTACAATCAGTTCCAACTAAGAATGAAGGGAGGCAAAATCGAAGGAAAGCTGATTCAGAAAGCCAAAGATGGCAAGCACCAGCATTGGAAACGATAAGATGGAATTTCACGTCCTTACCCTCTTTCAAGATTTAAGTCCAAACGTTGGCCGGCAGTGACCTTGTCAATCTCATACCTGTGTCAATAGCAATATCCTCTCACTTGGAATGTAGTTCATATAATAAGCCAAAAACTCTTTAACTAAATTTCAAGGGCGCACCTCAGTTCACTACGCATTTTCTCTATGTCATTTCGAAGCTTTTCAGTCTCACGTTGCAACGAAGAAAAATGATGATCCTACAGCAAAAAAAATCAAACATGCTCAAAAAAATAGCAACTCATACCACATATTCTACACCAAAATTGATCATCATTCAGATTTCAAACATGTCGACCACAAGAGAAAAGACGTCCCTGAGATAACTCAATTTAGGAAAAAAAATTAGAATTGTACATGGAAAAGAAACACATCAATACAAAATTGAAGGTTTAAATTCCTCAGTCTATTTCACTAGTGCTAAACTACAAATCCCGAAATTCAGTATAACACCAAACTGTCTCCAAGATTTTCAAGGTCATACAATATTCTGCATCATATGAAATTTTCCTACCAATTTCATGACATTTGCAATGGTCATATAGACAACAGACCTACTGACTTCAGCCTTCATTTCTTTGCATTTTTCCTTTTTTCCTTATTTCTTTGGTGGTCTTTCAGAAGGGAAGGGGGATTTCTGGAGTGAATCAACACTATAAGTCTCCACCCTCTTGTTCCTCCAGTGTCTTCCTCCATCCCCCATCCCCCATCCACCAAACACACTCTTTTCCCATTCATTTTGACTTGTGACAGAAAATTTTGGTACACTTATATTATATGTAGTGCATCTAATTACTAAGAGTCTCAATATCATACCAATATTTGCCACTAGACTAGATTCTACTCCCAATTTCATGGAATCTAATTAATCTACTCCCATAGATAACAGAATCTTCTGCCATTCCTTCTTGTTCATGTTTTTAATTTTTCTTTTCCTTTCCTTCTTGCATCAACAAAACATCTCCACCCTCTCATTCCTCCCTCTCTTCCTCTGTCCCCCAACCCACACAGGCAATCTTTCTCCATCCACTTTTGATTATGAATGCAAATTACTGGTATGGTCATATTTAACGAATGTTAAGTGTGTGACAGATGAGGATAATTCAAAGTCTTAACAATAACAAAATTCCTACTGCAAAGACTCACAGTTCAATATGAGAAGCGCATTCTTTACAACCACTATTTTGTGTGCAATACTGTGTGTAATTCACCTCTTTTTAAGAGAAGCATAGGGCATGAAACAACATTCTTAAATTCCAATGTGTCTTGAAAAAACATGCGATCAGCACATACATATGTAGCAGCTATAAAAATACTGTGTTAGTCTACTAAACAATCATGTTATCTTTCTAAATCAGTTACAGATGCCAGCTGTAGCATCAATTAGATATCAGCAGTACCAATAAGTGTTTTGGCTGGAGACTCTAAGCTCATACAGAAGTGGGGGTGGGGCTTAAGTCTCAGATTTAGGACTAACAAGCTTTCCAGAAATCTTACAGCAAAAATGCTACAGTCTCATTACTATTTTATCATGAAAAAAAATAAATTTGAAATTCGGTTGGAATACAATCGGTGAATCAACTCAAAGTAGTTTTTATCCTTTTCTTTTCCTGTCTTTTGAAGACATGGATAAAACATATGTAAAGCTGAGAAGAGAAATATATGAGACACCGGACGATATAAATATATGCCGTCAAAGTAGTGCCAGAAACATAGCAAAACTCCCAATTCCAACACTCGCATCAGAATACCACCTTGAGAACGTATGTACATGAAGTGAGATATCCTCTAAGGCAAAAGAATAGTCTGAAGGGCATCACAACGCAAAAGGAGAACTTAATGGAGCTACACTCTCGTCTGCAACCATGATAATCTAAAAAATCCAACAGTTCTGAAATTCTCCAGTGTACACCTTGGGTCATTGAGTCTAACAAATGCCACCACTTGATGGTCCCTAAGAGATCATGGCCAGGTGGAACTTCCAATTTCACAGCATATGAAACAATCAATCATGTAACAAAGCATGATCACACCTTAAGTTTCCAAGCAAATCAAAAACACAATCCACAAATCACAGACAACATCTGAGAAAAAGTATTATTGAGCGACCTCTATTTCAGAAAAACCAAAGCAAAAGTGCTGCCTTTATGCCTCAAAAACAAAAAGACTACCTCTCGAGAAAGAATTCATGAACACAAGCGAAACAATTCACTATTCTGTTTTTCCTTTTTTGTTCCTTCTCCCCCACCCCTCCCTTTTCTCTTTCTTCTGTGACGGGTAGAGGGAATTAATGTCGTCACATAGACTTCCAAGGATCAACGATCTCACCCCCCCAACCCAAAGAACATACCCAAAAAGATCATCTTACAGTGTAATTGGGTAACAATGACAGAGCTACATCAGAGAGGAAAAGTTAGATGAAAATAGTGATTGTTAAGAAATTAGGATTAGAGGACCGGTGTCATCATGGTCTATATGGGCTCTGGGCAACAGCTCATGACAGCATTCTATGGGTCTGCTTCATTCAGGGAAAGGAACATTATGAAGGCCAATCTGATCAAGGTGAAGGCATGACTGAAGAGGGTGAGGGCCACTAGGAATTAAGCAATAGGCTTTCCTTATTTTAAGGAAATTAAAGTTGGGATCCTTCATATTTAAGGTTGTATGTAGAGTCAAAGGACGGATGAGACACTCAGGGTTACTCTAGTGCATGAAATACATATTAAATCAAGCAACCTTTTTTTCCACTGGTGGAAATTTGATGACTATGAGAAAGCTGTCAGGATTGACATGCAATATTACTCACAAAGCTTAATGCTCACTTCATCAATACAAAATTAACAGCCTCTCTCAGAAAGTTAGGGTAAATTGGCATTGGAGATGACTGAGGGAAAAGAAATGGATTGACATGTTGGTGAAAGAAAGTTATTCTTCTAAAGATCAGAAAAATTAAAATCACGCTACAGGATTATATTCTAATAGTAACACACAACGCTGGATTTTGTTTTTTAAAATGGAAGCAAATCCCAGGAGCTGAACCTTCAAATTGATGAATCAAGAAAAATTATCACTTTGTTTACTCAAAAAAGATGAAGGTCTAGCTTTCACGACAAGGTAACTAATCACATTAAAGACAACCCTGAGATGATTTCATGCTAGACTCGAACTGAACTCTCTCTTACCCAAGTCAACTAGACCAATGACTTCACCTTGACCCAACTCGGGTTTAACATCTGACTTGAGTACACTTTAATGACCATTATTTGCTCGCAAACAAGTGCTTTACATCAGTAAAGTTGGAATTGGAAATAGCTCAAATTCATATTTATTTAGCACGAATGATCAGTTATAAAGATAAAACCTATGTCACGGCAGAGATTTTAACATCCCTAAAGTGGTCTTAAAAGCTACTATGACTTGTTCTTTTCAATAGAAACACATTTCCAAAGTAATAAATCTACACCCCAAATAAATGTTGCTTTAGAACCCTCAAAAACCACAGATACAAAAGGAATTCAATACAGGCAAACCCAGAATCTCTTCTTAAGCTGGATGATAATCAAGAGAACTGGACAGGGACAGCAACAAAAGACAGTTGTATCACAAGCATTCTTTTTCCTCATGTGCTGCTTGTACTTGAAAGGGATTGGCTTGGTTCAATTTGTTAACATGGTAGATGACTCAAGTACTTTAGGCCACTGGAGAGTAAAAATGAAAGCAACTAAAAACCAAACCCCATACATCAGTAGATCCAGATGTGCGAATGACAGAATACAATGCAAGAGTCCGAAGTCCATTCAAACACCACGTTAACATTACCGTGCTTTGTCCTTCTTCAGCCTTCACATGAATATAGTTGCAAAATTCAATCTCGTACTCTTCCAAAACCTCCAAAATCAAATAGGCCATTCTATTTCACATCCACCAGCCTCCAATCAGATCCGCATCAAGCAGTAATTTCCCCTATTTTTGATGAATTCTCCAATAAAGTTTCATTTGTCCTCTTTTCCTTTTTAGGGGTGGTAAGTTCCCTGAAGGATTTCATGGGAACTAAAGATCATAAACACCCTTACCCAAGAATTATAGCCCACATTTTCCTTATCTTTATATGATTTTTCATTGAAGTTGAGCTATTGCTCAAAATATCTAAGTTGAGCTACAGTAATTGTCCTTGACAACATGTACAATTTCACTTGTTATAATCTCTAACTTTAGAAAAAGCCCAATTGGCAATAATTAACACCACAGATCAACCAAGACGCCCTAAAAAAATGAATACTCCCAGAGTTTCTCTTGAGAACCAAGGAAATTCGCCACCATTTATCCCTCGATTCTATGCATTGACCACCTTAGGTAAATAATTTGTGTTTGGGATAGAATCTCAATCTTGAAGGATAATATAAAGCTTACTTCCAAGTGCGAAGGTTCATAAACCTTACGAGAGAGACCCGAGAAGGGAAATTTTTAGGAGAAGAGGGAGGAGAGGAAAGAAAAGGGAGAAAACAAAGAAGCTGCCAAGCCCCATGTCTAAAGAGATAAATAATGTGTAGAGAGAGATCTCTAGAGAAAGAATAAACAGTAAAGTTTCTTCTTCTTCTGAATAATAAGCAAATGAGGAGTATTTATAGATTGGCTCACATGGGCATTGCACAATCTATGCACAAGGAGGGAGTGACCAACGATTGGAGAAATGTGTCACATATTCAGTAGAGACAAGTAACCCACACTAACTAACCCCTTCTATCTTTGATGTGGATAAAAAGCTAGTGGTACCTACAAGAGACATGGGGATGAGGAACACTTGTACCACCAAGGCTACCTATGCTCTTACAACATCAAAGATACGAGCAAGACCATGCAACTCACACGACATTAGAACTCCATGGCACCAGGAGTCTCTAGCACCCCTGTTGGGCCTACCAAAAACCTCAAAGGATTCTCCCAAGCCCAGTCATCATCCATATGGCACCCGTGTGGAGAAGGGTTAACTAAATTTCTACAGAGAACATAATTAACAAGCCAAAACTTTGAATTATCAACCAAGTTCAAAGTAAATCAATAAGAATTTATTTAGAAATCACCCCCATAAAACCCCTAAAAATGCACATTTTCAAAGGGGGGGAAAAGTAACGGCGAAGAAAGCAATAAACAGTTGATAGAGGAATCCATAAAATTTCATAACACTGCATATTAGGAAAAAGAGAATGGCAAATCCAATTAGTACCTGAGAACTTTTTACTTCAGATTTAAACTTGCCAAGGTTAGATTCATGGATCATCTGAGTCTACAAAAATAAAAACCAAAATCATTACTATTCTTTACTAAGATTCAAAGTATTACTCAAGATAAAATGGTAAACCACAAATATAGGCTCCAATCATTGATAAAAAAAAAATTATGCAGAAATGAATAAAAGTGCCAGATAAACACTTACTTTCTGCATTTCAGCTTTTGAAACAAAAGAGTGAGAGACATTTTCTAAACTATCATTCAAAACTTCAGTAATTGCAGCAGTTATTGCCTCTGCCTGTTTTGAAGGCACACCTTGAGCTTCTAAGCTCCTCACCTGTTACAATAAAGAACCAATTAAAATGGTGTTGCTAGTGCACAACGCTCCCGCCATTGCCCGAAAGCTTGTGATCTATAAAGTAATCAGAATTGCAAAATCAACCTACTACTTATCAATCACAATATCACAAAAAATGTTAAAAAAAATAGATTACCAGTGCTAATGTATCAACGAGAAACACACGGTTCCCATTAGATGGGACGAGCTGAGACATTTGCCTATGATTGAACCGACCAATATTCGAATGTGAGGACAAAGAACCGTACAATTTCACAGAATAACTATCCAATTCAAGCATATTAACAGCAGCTGAAACTCTTGCTACATTGAACCCTCGTAATTTTGTCCCTAATTGAACCACGCGCCTACACATAGCCATTCTTGTGAGCAGTTAACTATCTTTCACACAACTTCAACAAATTAAACAATTAAATCTTCAAATTGTTCCAAACAGTTACATGAATAGAAAGAGGAAAAATCACCAAACGTTGTTCATTGTATCCCGTTGAAGAAATTTCGCTCAAGAAGATCGAATATACAATCTAGTTCACTCTCTCTAGGATCAAACTTGTGGAGAGTTAAAACAGGTTTTTGACCATGGTTCGATCGAAACGTTTGAAGTTTCTCACGGGAGAGAGAGAGAGAGAGAGAGAGAGAGAGGCGGTGAAAAGCTTGACGGAGGGGTTTCGTTAATTGGTTACTGATTGTTTATGGCGTAAAGATAAATTCCTTCTCTCCCCCTTTTCCCTATTTATTCGGTTGCTTGCCCAAACAGCTTCTTCCTTGTGATTTGATTTTCATTATTCTTTCTACAAATGACATTTCATACCCTAAAATATCATTATATTTTTAATTTATACCTTAAAAGATTAATTTTTTTATATTTTACCCTTAATCAAATAAAAAAGTAACAATGTGCTCTATTTTTAAGAAAGTTGAGCGTGCAATTTTCCTTAAAAATACTTTATTGAGTATTATGCAGACAATTGTTGATAGATATGGAAAACAAGAAAAAACTAATTTGTCAAATAAGGCAAGGGACATTTGGTTTTAGACTACATTATTACTTTTTTTATTTGATTAAGGGTGCAATACGAGAATTTTAATTTTTTAGGGTATAAATTGAGAGTTTGATAATCTTTCATTGTATACAGTGACATTCACCCTCATAATTTTTCTTCTTTTTTTTTTTTTTTTTGGGTGTAGATGTCAAGATAAGGAGGAACAGGTGTGCCTTGTTAAAAAAGAAAAGGAGAAATTAGGAAACTTTATTAAATGAAAAATATCAGCCAATAGTAATTCCTTATCATTTGTTGGGGTTCACTTTCCAAATAACTTTTTTTCACTTGAATTTATAAAAAAAAATTTGAGAGAAAATGTACTTCAAAAGATCTGAATTTGCCGTGTGTTAATGACGTTGTAAATATTTTTTTTCCAAGCTCTTGGAGTTTTAAGAAAATAAAATTATCTTGTATTATCAAAGAAATATAAATAAAGTATAGCTATATAAAAGTTACCCTTTTGTTAAAAATTAAAGAAAAAAAAAAAAGAAAATCTAAAATAGATGGAGATGATGAGAAAAAAAGATATATTTGTTAAATTTTTTTGGGGAGTATTAAAGAAGTTCTAGTCTCACCTATCCTAACACTCTCACCAAAAAATGCTTAAAAGCTATAATAAGAGTTATGTGGCATACAATAGGGGATTAATTATTAACGTTAAGGCTGATAATTGAATCAAACTACTTAGACTAAACTTGAATTTGATTCATATAAGACTCGAGCCTGTTGAATAATTTTTAAGCCCGTTTAGAAAAACGATCCTAAAAATGGTTCAAATTTGAGCTTACAAAACTCAATTTTTTTGTATATAAAATGATTGAATTACTCAAACTCAATTCAAATTCGACTCGTTTTAAGTTTGACCAATTTTTTAGGCATATTTATAAAAACAAGTTCGACTCGAATTCACAAAGCTCAAAGGGTATTAAGGAGGGCGGTCCTTTTTGTAGACTTACTTGGATTTAAGCAAACTCAAAAAATTTATTTGGGAATAAATCATTTTGATCCATATTGTTCAAAATACTCTTAAGAGTTATATTTAGTCAAAACTTGTTTGAAAAAACTAACAACTCTTCAATTGAGAATTATATTAGTATTAAAAACTCCTATTGCGAGGATGTCACTCTATTATAATGATTAAATTTTTATTGAGTGTGCTACTGTTTGATGTTATTATTTTTTTGTTAAACGTGTTACTGTTTAATATTACTATATACATATATATGAGATAAAAAAATAATTTTAATGTTAGCACAAATTTCTAGTTATGAGTCATTATATTAGAAAACATTGAAACTAACAATGATAGACAATATTTATAATAAGAATAATTATTGAATATATTTCAAAAAAAAAATTAAAATATTTTAAAATGTATATTTATTGACAACTATTTGATTTAAAAAAAGGAACTTAATAGAGTATAAGTTTAAAAGTAACACTTAAAGCCAAATAAATTCTACAAAAAATATTCACAGCCAATTATCCGATGCTCAAATTAATTATCAGCCCCAACTAGAATTGAAGTCTTCTTGTTAGATTTTTACCCCGGCCACAACTCAGTAGGGCCTTTCAATGTATTTCATAAGTTGCTAGACAAAGGAAACCCAATTAGCTGGGATGGGCCTTAGAAGCAGACAGGCAACCTGCTCCGAAAGATTTTTTTTGGTCAGAAAGCATCAGAAGCTAAAATTCCGTAAAAGCAGCAATAAGAGCACCCATCTCATGGCCAGCTACACTGATTGGCCCACCACCAGGGTCGGTTGGGGGAGGACTATTTTGCTGCAGCAGTAAAATTGGATTTGACAAGAAATGCACTGCAAAACTACAAAACTTTGGAAATTATAGAGCATTAAAGGAGCCTATAGCAAAATGTCAAAATGCCTATTAGGAAATAACTACTGCACAAAATCAACTAACGTCCAGTATAAAATACCAAAGCTAAGAGTGCAGATAATCACAGGCAGCACCCTTCTTACAATGCCCGTTGATATGGTATGGGCACGGTGTCTGCCTTTTGGGAAGAGATCGGAAAGAACCACCTGACCCTCCTCCACTACCAAATGATGACTGCCTGTTCCAATGACCGTGACCACCAGAACCAGAATTTCCACCCTGACCACCCCCGTCCCTTTGACTCGAGAATCTATCTCCATTGCGGTGTTGTTCGTTTCCTCTAGTCCCCTGACTCACAGCTGGAGCAGGTGCACCCCAACCTGGATTTGAATTTCCAGGTGCTGGTCCTTGAAAAGTAGCACCCGGATTCCCAGCAACTGGAACCCAACCCGAGTTCGCATTCCCGGGTACTGGCCCTGAACTGTTGCTCCCGTGTTCATGTGTGGAGCAACCCAACCTTGATTTGCAATCCCAGGTGCCAAACCCTGAACCATAGCTCCTGGATTCCCTGTTGGTGCAACCCAACCAGGGTTCACATTCCCTGGCACTGGCCCTGGCCCTTGAACAGTAGCTCCTGGATTCCCAGTTGGCACAACCCATCCCGGATTGACATTCCCTGGTGATGGCCCTTGAATAGTAGCTCCCCAATTCATATTCGTACCTCCTGGTGCTGGTCCTCCCCAGCCCATGTTTGGATTTACCTGTATTGGTCCCCAACCAGTGTTCTGATTATCAGTTCTTGAAATAGGTACAGGAATGTTGGGAACTGAAATGCCTCCACCCCACGGTACATTAGAAGGAGCTGGAGGTTGCATGTTCGATTGATTGCCCGCAATTGGAGGTCTCCAAAAATCAGGTTGAGGCAAAGCTGAGGAACCAGGAGTCAACAAGTTTCCAGCAGGATCCTGAACACCAGGAGCCAAAAAGTTTCCACCAGGATTCTGACCCGATGTAACACTAACCCAGTGACCATAAGTCTGTGGTTGTCCATGCACAGGAATAGCAGAATTTGGTTCTACATTCTGAGATGGAGCATTAGCCCAAGTATGAGTTTCAACATGAGTGTTCTGACTATTCACAGATTGAACTGTGTGGGCAGCAGTATCAGGCGCAGGGAGCAGATGGCTCTGTGTCTGCACCACAAGTGATTCTGTAGTCGCAGTTGGTTGTGAAGTTCGTAAAGAATTTGTATCACCCACGAGGACACCTTGTTCAGTGCTAAGTGCTGCATTAAATCCAGTTTGAGAGCTTTGGGAATAATTTTCAGAATCCCTGGCCAACGATCCACCAGAATCCAAAGCTGAAGCGAGAGCAGAAGAACGTGTCACTTGGCCACTTTCTGAGGGAGTTGCAGCAGGTGATTGCAGTGCTTCATTGCCACCAGAAAATGAACTCGCTCCCACTAGAGGACCCACTTCAATGGTAGAAATGGTAGTACTTTGCTTCGGAGTAGGAGAAGGAAGGTTTGACGAGTCATTCCCACCCCACCTGTCTGTAGAAAGTTTGGGGACCTCAACTGGAGTAGTCATCCAGCCCTTTGATGAACTTAGGTTTGGTTGAGTATTAGTCTTTGGCAATCTATTGCCCCCCTCTGGCAACTCTCTCGGAAACCTTCCAGCCAATGCATCATTCAAAAGTATGGAATCATCTTGTGTTTTGGTGGTTCTCCAGATTCTAAGATCAACAGGGAAGTATCCAGTGTTGCTCCATTTGCGCAGCTGCACAATGGAAAATGGTCCTTGAACTTTTCCAGATGGATCCTGGTAACGCCAGATTTTTTCTGTTTCACTTGGTTTGGCGGCTGTTTCGGCAACCCCCACAGAGAGAGCTGGCGAAGTTTCTGATGCAACACCGGAGAATGATTCAGATATTACACCAGAGTGGCTATTCCATCCAACAGTTTCAGAATTAGAAGCTGAGCTTTGCTTCTCCAGCTTTTTTGACTGTTGTGCGTCTTTGTCTCTTGCAAGATCCCTTAAATTTTCATTCATTATCTCACCACTAGGAGTAGCATCTTCCGCTTTGTTTGAGAAATTTTTACTAGACAGGTTTCTGTTAAATTCCCAGTTCTTACTTGAATTTGTCCGTGCAGTACTCCAAGAATCTTTTGAAGAGAAATCTCCTGTTCCGGGAGAGAGTGGCTCCCTACCTCTCCTGTTAAAGCCAGAACTTCTGGGTCTCATGTAAGCCTCTGCATACACCAAAGTGATGTCAAAAAATATTACCTCAAATACTATATGCAACAAAGATGGAGTTTGAAAATGACAAGAGAATGAATTAGACCTCGTCTATTATCTTCCTCTTCATTGTAATCTTCTTCAGACTCGTAACTTGGATCCATCTTTGGGTCTGCATGTATTGTTGGAACTTCCTCTAGTCTACGTTGTCGCTCCTCAGGTGTTTTCAGAAGCTGTAATTTCTCTACACATTCTCTAAGCGTGCAAGTTGGTCAAGGATTAGAACAAATCTTTTCCCTATGACAATAGATATTATACCTACATACCAGCAATAAGTAACTAGGACCAAACTACAAGTAAAAGATGGACACTGCTAAATATGCTTCAATTCAACAAACAATAATTCACCTTCTCTGACATTATTTTTTGTTTCCAAGCCTTGTGACAATCAAGATTATCTGTGCAAGGCCCAAAATTCTAGCACAAAGTCACACAACAGAGCAACGAAGGAACTTGAAAAATAGTCCAGAAAAAAAAAGTCTCCACCCTCTTCCTCTTTTCCTCTCATCCCTGACAAGAAAACAAAATAGAAAAACAAACAGAAGCAGGAGAGAAAGACCTCCGCTCGCCGGCTCAGCAATAGTCACTGAAGTTTTATACAGCAACAAAACTGCAGAGACTCATGCCAGTGTGATTAGAGGCTCAATAAAACACAACTCAGTTGCAGGACAGCATCATATTACGTGACAATCCTGCTCCAGCGCAGCACTTCCATGCTCGCCGCTTAGAACATTACAGTAACAGAAGTTACTTTGCGGAACAACCTCAAATGTAATAAACACACTTTAGTTGCAGAAATAAATCAACAACTTCTGCTTCACCACAGATCTTCCGATGCTCCCTACCTAAACCCTAGCATGGGTTCAAGTTATGCCGTGATGCAACCTCAGATCTAATCATATAACCTTTTACCAACTTTAGACAAGACATATAGTGCGATGCATCACAGGCATGTACTTCATAGATGCAGCTTATTTAACAAAATCTATGCTAGACTCCTACTGCAGACATCAACTCAGAAGCAAGCAACAATTTGAAACTCGTAAGATAACATATGCTGAACATTTTATCGTTATGTACTTAAAACTTAAACTAGCAAAGCTCTGAATGTGAATAATGTTCCAGGTATCAAAACCAAACACATATACATGAACGTAAGCAACAAGGATATTCCTTTCTACGCCCTTTTTCACTTGCTCGATCTCGAAGATGACTAAGTCGCACTGTCTCTGTTTCCAGCCACTGCAACATGGAAAAGTATACATCATATTATACAAAAACGAAAGGAGAGAGAATTTTCAGATATTGTGACAAGCAAACTAAGAAAACTATAAAGACAGCTTAACTGGAAAACCCTAAATTACATAAATGCAAGCCATCATGAATTCTGCAATGAGAAGGTAATTATTTGAACATACACCCTAAACAAACTCATTCAACCAGCACGGTTTAATTCTATTTTACATAGCAACATTAATCTGAACCAAAAAAAAAAAGTCTTTCTCCCAACATCAGAGGAGGAAAACAAATTAGCACACTGAATCCTTAAGCAGAGTTGGGCAGATTTTTAGATTGTTAGTGTGTTACTTTCCTGCTATGTGTTTGTCCTATTATGCTCTACTTCTTAACATTGTAACTGTCTTCAATATTAATCTATACTACTAATAAAAGTACACTATCAAGAAAAACTTTTGTTTGACTATTTTATCCATACAAGAAAACAAATCACAATATTAAACCATATTTAATGGAAAACTCTTTTAAATAGAACTTGATTGACATTAAAATTTTGTTGGACTATTTTACTCTTCAATTAAAGCATCAATGCAATACTAATGTTATTAATACAAATTCATTA